CGTGCACTGAATACCGATTAGCCTCGCAGCTAAATACACTTTCTCTGTTGTGGCCTGTATAGTAAAAGAAGTCAAGTACACCGACACTGACATAGGCAAAATCTCCAATAGAATCGAGGAGGCGAGTTCCAAGAATTAGTTGTGAAGAAGCAGACACGTTCGCTGGAACAAGACCTTTATCAGTCGGACGTTTCGGATTCTCGCTCGAATCCTTGTTCTTTTCACATAGCAGTTAAAATCTGAAAAATCTGTGGAAAATAATAAAAGTCGAGGTCCTCAAGTCCTTTAGCTGGAAATAGTTGGAAAGGAAAGAAAAAGGGAAAGAGAGGCCGGCACCAGAAATTCATCTTCACGGAACATCAGCCCATTCCTCTCTATCATCCGGATCTATCACGACGCACTAAAAAGTGGGGTTTAGATGAGTCCCAAGTGATGGGATAACTCAGTTCTTCTTAAAACTGCGAGTCAGACTGCAATGACTTTTTCTTTATGACATGAGGTCCGAGTCGTCTATACGGAATCCTGGCATATGTGGTCGGAACCAAGTGGTGTCCGGCACGCGTAAGTGGCTGGCTTAACTTCCTTAGCCACTGCGGTCAGTCCCACGTCCGGTCGTCTTTACATTGTCCTGCCGGCGGATCAAGGTAAGTAAGTGAGGATCGGGTGCGACATATACTACGCAAGTCCGACACACAACCAACTCTCTCACAATTCATTGGCGTTGTCTGCACTCCGTGGGGCATGCAGTGAAAATCGTTGCTTGTGCTGGTCAAACTATCCCTAAGATTTTCTCGAAGTGAAATCATCCAGGCTACTGACCAGTCAGGAAACGAATCGAGGGGGAAGCACCAAACGCAGTTCGATGGACTTTACTCAACCACATAAATGTCTTTCCAGGGTGTTGTTTATACCTCTGTAGATACTTAAAACGGGCCGAGGAAATAGGAAACCGCCTAATATAGGTGGCCTTTTGTTTAATTTCAGGGAAACTGGAGTAAGGTCTGGAGCACGGGAATAAGCACCCTTCGTGGAATCCAGCGCAAGATTACCTGTAGTAATAGGCGGGGGGGAGGGGGTTACTGTTCCCATGTCTTATCGACTTTTTAAAGTCAGGGTGAAAGTCCAACTGTCGCCCATTGTACCTCCGGTAGAGTAGAAACTGAAAACACTGGGAAGGTTACGAGTAGGAATCCGACTTTTGAGGATCGTTAAAAAAGGTGATGTCTCATGAACTGAGGCTTTATTATAACCATTAAGAGAGGAAAAGTCAAAATGAAGAAGTTCCATCGACTAGATTTTATCTAACTTGAAAAAAGAGACTCAAACAAGCATTTCCAGTGCAGTTATCGCCGTCAGTCAGTCACACCAACACTTCTGCCCTGCAAGATCAGGAGACGCCCCCCCCCTCCTCCCCTGGGCAGCTTGGCTTTCGGGCATTCATGTTAAGCTTACCACCAGTTGAGCTACGAGACCAAGTTTTCGATACGCCCCGACTACAAATTTTAGCGCTGGCGCCTCCTTTTAACCCTGCAATTCAAACCTTCAGCCCACAGAAGTGGTCGCATGACAGCGGGACATTGGTTGTTGAGGGGGTTATTGATAAGGCAAAGGAATCAGAACTGTCACTTCGGGCTTGCTAGCTATCATCAGTCAACCATGCGCTAACTGCAGGCAGTGATCTGATCTTATTGCCGTTGAGCCAAAAGGCCATAGCTGGCAGGATTTCGGCCCATCTCCCAATGACTGCGCTCCAGTCGCGGTGACCGACTGGAACCCTGTTCAGTTTCCACATCTGCACTACCGAGGTCGGAGACATAACAAGCTATTTCAGTCCCCGTTGCCTTTGTCCGTAATACATCTCGACAATCGAATGTCCGTTACCAGGACCCAAGATCTCGTCCTCAGGCTAAAACGTCAGCGTCCGCATTCCAATTTGTGGTCAGGATCGATTGGTTAATGTCCATCGAACTTTGAGTATTGACGATCGCAACCGACAGGACTTCGACCCGTAAATCGCGTATTAGCTAACTTAACATGCATGCTCAAGAATCAAACGATTTGTGTGCCATCTTCGGATCTTATGGGGCCAAAGTTTAGGCGTGGTTGACTGACGGCGGTAACTACGCTGAAAATGGATATCGCGGTTTCCCTTGGCTCAGGAGTGCTTATTGGTGCGTCAAACAAAAGCTAACGTTAACGTGCAATTCCCTTCAAACGGGGACTGTTGACCGCCAAGCAGACTATCGATGACGGTGTCAGTTTACTACGGGCTTATTTTTGACGCTAACTGGACAGAAATCGGGACAGGATGTAGAAAAATAGAATGAAGATGGACTATCTCCTTGTAGATACCGTTGACTTTTTAAGTTAATATCTTCCGCGAGTAATCAAAGCAGTTCTGTAACCAGGCATTTGCAGGGTTAAATGCTGCCGAGTTCAATGGAACTACTGGAGACTCTCGAGCTGTCTAGAGCTTTTTATATAAGTCGGGAACAGTCCAAAAACATTCCATAAGAATTTATATGTGGATATTATTAATAGACCTGCAAAATGCCGAAAGTGCAAACGCTGAGTCAGTCGTGTGTGGGGGTTAAAAACATGCCCTCGAGTCACAGGGAACTAACTTTTACCAACTTGCCCTGATCACAGGAGGGAATACGCGCATTCCGCACCGCCTCGTGACTCCCCCCATAAGGCCCGTGTGGACGATCTCGTGGCGACAAGTGATCAATTATCGAAACCGGAGTGGGCATCTGTGTTTTATTTGCAGCTACCCCCCAGATCCTCTTGTGTATGTGTCAGCAGCAATTATCGGCTACTGATTGCTTGTCACTCCAAGGTGAGCTTTTCAGCGGCGTTTCAGGGCGAAAAGCACCTCCATGCTCTATTTTACAAGCAGAAAGATGAATGAACACAACTGTCATACGACCCTGTGCCATACTCCCCATCACAGGAGGTCGTTTAACAATCAGGCAGTCTGGGTTTCAAACCCGGTTTTTTCGGCATCGATTTGGGGTCCGCTTAATTTTGCACGGTAGATGAATCAGAGATGGGGATTCCAGCCTTCCTTACATTTCTCGGCAATGCTGCTCTGTTACTGAAAGGCCCACCCCAGCGCTCATTGTCGAATGCGTCTTTGTCTGATGCTTGAAGGTCCGCACAGTAGTGCTTATGCTAGTTCACGTATTCCCTCTATCCACTCCCACTCCGTGGGATCTGAGCCAGGTATGACGGTATGCCTAGGAGCGGCTTCGGCCTCGCCAAGCCCCTTTGTTGTTGGTCAAAATCCTGGTCTTTTGCTGTGTGAACCAGGGCGTGTGGAGTGGAGCGCAAAGATGCGGGCTCGGCCGTGCCATCCACCTGCGCCCCCCCCCTGTCTCCGGCCTTCCAGACTATGTTTTTGCACAGGGTCCAGATGGGGGAGAAGAGTGTGCGGTAGGTACTCCGCAAGTCGACATTCACTATAAACTAAGGTACGCGCAAGTCAGAGTGCCTGCTTCACCTAACTGTGGAGTGCGTGGCGGACGTCGTCGGCAACGACGACCGAACTATCATTCCCTGTATCAGAAACATGCATTCAGTTACCGATTTCATGAAATGTTAGTGGAAATTCTGATATGCCTTTCCGATTAGGCAGGATTACTGAAATGGGATTGTGATGTTGATTATCATATAGCATGATATCCCGGACCTGCCAGAGTGTTGGATTTGAATGCACTTCTCGACCTTCTGTTAATACCCCACTTGGCAAGAAAATAAGCACATAAGAAGTGTTGTTTTTCACATTTTTTTGAGGTCCCTACAAATTCAAACATACTTTGCAAAAAACATGCACAAAATGTTCTTTCTTGTACTCATTTGGCAGCAACTCATATCTCGTTTCACATTTTGTACTCGAAAAAGCATATATTTAGGTTTTGACAGAGTTTTCAAATTTCCCAATAACGTTGAGTCAAATCAGCTTTCATACTAGCGTTTGGCGATTTCAGTCTACAGGGTGTGTACTTTCCGCATAAGGAAAATCATACATTCCCCAACGCCTTTGGGAATATAACATGTACGGCTCATAAAATTCTCCAGTGAATGTGCACCATGTTCCACACTTCATGAGGAGCATTATTATGCGGACCGATACGATCCTGTATAAATGGGCATTGAACGGTCTTAAAATTCCATAATCATAAACTCTTTTAAAACTGATGTGTAATCTTTTTTGATTATAAAATTTAAAGAAAGCGTAATTTGCTACCAAATTAGTGTTAGAAAGAATATTTTTTGTACATCTTTTCTACGAATATATTCGAATTTATAAGGAGGTCGGAAATCAATATTGAAATGTATATTACTTAAGTAGTTGTTTTTACCGAGTGCGGTTTTTAGGAGGTCGAACTAAGTGCATTCAAAAGCCAACACCCTCATGAGTCAGAAATATCATAGGATTATGCTGCTTGTTAATCAATATCACAACCCCGTCTAAGTAACCCTTCCTAATCTAAAAGGCATTTCAGAATTTCGACTAACATTTTATGAGATCGGTCACTGACTGCAAATTTTAACTCTCACAACTCAGCAATATTCCTATACCTTTCTGTCTTCTCTTATGCCAAAACGAACCGAGAACCCCTTTCAACCAGCAATTTAGCATGCACGTTGTCATGTCTGTTGATATGCTGATCGGCAACATTTCCATAGAGGCAACCCAACCCACTTCACGCTCGATCGACCGAAAATGTCAGCATTTAACCTTAGCTATGCCTATTCGCAGTAAAGATACGCCGAGCAGTTTTGTCCCTAAGATAAAGGCTAGCGATTTGTTTTTGGTGACATCTACGTACGTGCGTACCCGCCGTGTAATGAGGTCAAACTTCCGCCGCCACCATTATCTGATTGGCCGTTGCCAATGGTGATTCGAATCGAGACGCGGACCAATCAGAACGCCCAGGCCGACTGACGGTAGCTCTGTAGAATACGACGGCAGTCAGAAACAGACGGAAGCCGTCATGCGGGGAGCACGTTTACTCTGGCTGGCTTTGGTGTTGCTGGGACTCCTCTTTGTGCTCGGCGCCATCGCGCTGGACATCGCCGCGCTCGTTCTGCCCAAGTGGGTGCGATGGGACTTCTCCGCAGCTGCGGGACTGTCCTCGATGAGTCGTGGTCTCTTCGCCTCCTGTACAGGTAGACAGTTCTATCTTTTCAATTTTAGGCAATTACACGGTATGTAATCTATTTCATGAAAAGTGCCGAAATTTATGAAAGGCTGCTTATCACTAGCAATTCGGTACAAACGAGCGGACCAAAACTCCGAACTAATAATGAAAAAATTTAAGCGAAATGAAAATATAAACAAATCTTAAAATTAATACTGCACTGTTTAGAAATACCAACTTTTTAGAAAAGCGGAAAGCCACAAAAATGTCAAAAATCGTTTTGAGGGAGAAAACTCAGTTTTTATGCACAGAAAACCTGCCCATGCAAAAAACAAGTAAATAAAACAGCGCAAGTCGAATGACGCTTGAACTCGTCCTCTAGTGAAGTTTGCACTTAAATACCCCTCAGCTGAAAGTGTAACATCAGTTATGGTAATTAGCCAACAGCCTACAGCTTGGACGTAGATATCAACACGGTTTCAGGAGTACTGACTCTATGTTTTCCAAGGCAAACAGGATTCGCTTGATTCCGTAGACATGGAGGTCAGGGGAATAAGTGTTTTTCTAGGGTCAAATATTGATAGGCCTGTCAGTGACTAATAAATCTAAATAGAATTTTGCAATCATTTAACATAATGACAACACAGGTAGAAGCTAAAAGCCCAGACACGCGTGCTCCGTCGATCTTGTGCACTGCCTAATGCAGCTGCGAGGAGTTCGGCTCATCACTGGGTCCACCAGCCTTCCCTGTGTGTTTGTGATAATATTAACTCCAGTTTCTCCCTGCCTTGCTTAATTTCCGAGGTTTGTAACTAGTGCCTGTGCTGTCAGTACGGTAAAATAATTACGCAATTCTATACTACCGGCTGCCTGTTGGAGGTTTGTGAATATTGTGCGGTTATTCCGCAATAGCTGACGGGGTTCAGCTCAAATGTTCGTAGTAAATTTTGGGCCGTGTCGGAAAAGTTCTGTTCCGAAGGATTAATTCCAAGTTCGCGCATTAATTTACAAGGAAATTAAACAAGGCAAAATCGAAATAGAATTGTCCGGTACAATTGTAAACGTACCATTCTGTGCGTATTAAGAGATATACCCCTCAGTCTAATTGCTTTATAGTTATTTCTGGTGCTGGAGCACGATAAAGGTATTGTCGTGGTAATTTTCATTAAAATATCAGAACATTAGAAAGAAGGATTGTCTGTGGGCGTTATTATTGCGTTTTAAGAGACGAATTCGTACAGTTCCACAAATCGGACGCTTTATAATCGATTAAGTGGCTCGCTTTCCAAAAGTGACCTCGCTTCTTACGTCCTGCTCCCTCTAATCTACGCGGAGGGGAAGAAATTAATTTCTAAATGCGGCAAGTTCGATTTGGCAAAACTTTCGATTTTAACTTATCCGCCTTTAATGAAAGAACACGCATAAATCTGCAAGCTTAGCCTAGGAAAACTATCATCGTAGGAAACATTCTGAATGCAAAGTAACGTGGATTTGCGCTCAAATTTCTAAACATTTTGACTGATAAAATTATTTCTAAGCACATTGGGCACGTAAAAAAGACATTTTTCGGAGAAGCCTAAGTGAAAAAGCAACTGTGCGGCTTTTAAGTTGCCCGCAACAGGTCGTCTCAATTTCCGTCATCAAGTTTCGTGAGTTAGGTCGCATACTGTACGTGCATGTATGCGTAGACGTGTTTGGTGTGTGTACGAGCACCAACCGGAGGTTCAGCTGACATAGCGCGTTTGTCATTCACCAACCCTCACACCGTCTATTGCCTACGTACAAACCCTCTGTTGAGAATTCGGTAAGATGTGGTTTGGTAGCCCACCTGATTGACGCAATACTGTTGGGGTTGGGGTTAAGGGTTAGGGGTTATGGTTAGGGGTAAAGGTTAAAGGTTAGGGCTAACGGTTAGGGTTTAGGACAAGGGTTTATAGTTAGGGGTTAGGGCTAGGATTAGGAGTTGGCACAACTATTTTTCAACCATTGAAAGTACAACCACACATTTCCAATAGCTTTTCTTTTGCACACAACTACTTGACCTCGTCGCCTGTGCGTTCCCCGGTTCCATCTGTACAAACTCCTATTACCACCGGTCCAGTATTAGAAGTGACTGGGGTTTGTTTACTTCAGGTTGGGCTACCAAAACACATCCGACAGAGAATTCCCACGGGCATGTTGTGCGCTGAAAATATGCAACTTGTGTAATTATTTACCGTACCAACGACAAAGGCACTAGCTAAAAACCAGACACGCCCGTTTCGCCGATCTTGTGTCGCTGCCTGACTCAGCTGCGAGGGATTCGGCTCGTCAGTGGGTCCAACAGCTTTCCCGTGTGTTTTCTGGTATATGAACTCCAGTTTCACCGTGCCTTGTTTAATTTCCGAGGGAATGAATGCGAGAACTTGGAGTAACTCCTTCAGAACAGATCTTTTCAGGCACGGCTCTAAATTGGATGTGAATATTTGAGCTAATTTCATCAGCTACTGCGGAATTACCGCGTAATATTCCCAAACCGCCAACAGGCAGTCAGTAGTATAAAATTGTGTAATTATTTACCGCACTGACAACAGACAGATTTCGCGGCTCTGGGCCAACGCTGAAGTCGTTCTGCGTGTTTAAAATGACGCTGACCGGAGCACGTGCAGCCTATGACATGGCGAATATGTTGTCATCTGATGCACTTTGTTAAAGATAGACGCCATGCTCGTCCAGGAATATTTGTTTTGAGAGCGAAATTTCAAATATCGAGCTTGGAAAGTAATAGATTTCTGACTGTCGAGTTCAGAGATAGTCACCCTGGGCAATAATGGAAAGGGTGTTTTCGAATTACAGACTGTTGGTTGACCACCGATCTTGGAGTGTGAGATACTGTTTAATAGCTGGACAGAACTAGTATCCGTATGCTGACTTTTATATCCTTATTACTATGAAGTAGAGGTCTTTGGTTTCGACCATTTCGTTGCTAAAACTGTCATTTGGGGGAATTGGACTGATGTGCAACTTAATTTTTGCAACTTATGTCGCAGAAATTCCCTCTTACCGACACCTATTCGGGAAATAGTCCATTCCTCTAAACAGGCAACAAGGAACCTCAGAACCAGCTCGAAAATCAATACATTCACGGGTGGTGACATTTGGAGATTGTATTACTACGTCGGCGGGATAATTATTACTTTATTATTATCGGGAAAATTGCCATGATGGATGTGCAAGAGCAGGAATGCAGACGGCTCAGTAGAGTTCAGAATGTCCAGCCATCCTCAGACTCCATAAAGCAACCAGGCCGTGTTCGGAACACATAATCTAACCAGCCTATATTTGACGCTGACCTGACCGACTTCCTTGCTTTCACTAAAATGGTGCGCCAAGGTCCCCGAAGAACCCGGTTTGCAGATACCGAAGACCCAAAACACCGGCTTTAAGGGGATTGCAAAAACCCATCTGTTGTCATGTCAGACAAAGCGAACCATCACGATCAAGTCGTAAATTAAATGCACTGGTAAAGATGTCGCGCAGTCGGTGATGTCATTTACAGGGCGTTGCTGATGTCAGAGATTCAAATTACAGTTAACTGCTGAGCCAGGAAGCGAAGACGACGGACGCACACAAGCCGCTGTTCTATTCTCCTCCACCTACAGTAGATGTGCTAACTCACGAAATGTTAACCGAAATTCTGAAATGCGATTTCGTCTCGAAAAGATTACTTAAGTAGGGCTGTGAAATTTAGTATCAAGCATCATAATTATATAATAATTCACTTACCCCAGGATGTCAGCTTTCGGACAAATATCTTTCCGGCCGCATGCAAAAGCCATGCTCTGTAAAAAATGATTACTTAATTAGCATGCACTTTTCTCATTGATCTTCGATGCCCTTCAAATTTCAATTATATTTCACGGACAACACGCATAAAAAATCTTCATTCTTTTGCCCATTCGGTAGAATATTTTGTCTTCTTTAAATTTTATACTTGAAGAGAGGGTACAATTCTGTATTCAACATCATTTCCGATTCCCGAAAAATTTTGAACCTGACCTGTCGTTACGCCCGCATTAAAGGTTTCCAAACTACAAACCATATATTTTCTGCGTACGGAAAACCATACATTTCTCTACGGTATTAAGAAAAGACGATATGGGACTCATAAAATTTAGTAGTGGATTTAAGCCATATTGTTAACTCTACAAGCAATATTAGTACAGTAGATGTGCTAACTCATGAAATGTCAATCAAAATTTCGAAATGGGTTCTCGTTTCGAAAAGACAAATTAAGTAGTGTTGTAAAAATAATCATGATGCAGCATAAATCTATAATGATCCAATTACTTCAGGGTGTCAGCTTTCGAAAGAACTTATTTTCGGCTGCATGCAAGATCTATACTCTGCAAAAAATGATTACTTATATAGCATACAATTTTCTCATTTATTTTCGATGCCCTTGAAAATGCAATTATATTTCATGGAAAACATGCATAAGAATATTCATTTCTTTACGTACTCGGTAGAAAATCACGTCTTCTTCCAATTTCATTCTCAAAAGAAGAGTATAATTCGGTTTTAAAAAACTTTTCTAATTCCCGATACATCGGCCGCACAACGAGACGCCTGGTATAGAGAGTACGTGAACATATGCCCGCCTGGCTAGACAGAGGTGAGACCCGGTCGATTTCGAGTTCTATTCTCGCGCATTTAATCGATGCGAACCACCGAGTCGATGCCAAGAAAGCATTTCAGGTTGTCTACCGGACAACAACATGCTTCTCTAAAGGCCTACGCCAACGGATACTAGCAACGGCAGAGGCAGTAGCTATACGGTTAGTGAATCCGGTGTTATGCTGTCAGAAAACTCTGACACAAGCGCTTTCGCTGCCGTGGCCAACGCCAACGCCAACGCCAACCCCAAGTGATGAAGCCATGCCGCCTCAAATCCCTAATCACGATGATGGGTGCTCCGTGTACTCAACCCAAGATCATTACTCAAAGACTCTCTTACCCCCCTCCCCTAGCCCTGACGACTAACACCCGCCGACCTTCTCATGCGGGCGGCGTGGGGATGATGAGTGTTAGTGACTTAATAGCCCTTGAGGCATCTATAAACACTGTTGATTTTGTACATTTTCATTCGTTTCATGTAATTGTATTGGCCTGAGGAAGAATTACCGAAAACGTGCGTTCGCCAACTTGACTTTTCAATTTTAACATGGGAATATTTGCGGAATTCCCGAATAATTTTGAACCTGACATGTTGTTACACTTGCATTCAGGGTTTCAAAACTACAAGTTGTATATTTTCCGTGTACGGACAACCATGCATTTCTCTACGGTGTTAAGACGCGATAATATGAGGTTCATAAAATTAAGCAGTGGATGTGAGCAATATTGTTAACTTTACAAGCCACATTCGTAAATGCAGATACATGACGTTTCATGAACGGCCATTTAACGGTATTAAAAAATCTCACAATTAGAAACTTTGTTGAAACCGAATTATACTCCCATTTAGAATATAAAATTAGAAAAAGACACCATTTTCTGCCGAATAAGTAAAGGAAAGAATATTTTTATGCATGTTTTCCATGAAATATAATTGCATTTTCAAGGGCATCGAAAATCAATGAGAAAATTGTATACTAATTAAGTAGTCATTTTTGCAGAGTATAGATCTTGCATGCAGCCGAAAATAAGTTCTTTCGAAAGCCGACAGCCTGAGGTAACTGGATCATTATAGATTTATGCTGCATCATGATGAGGTTTACAACACTACTTTAATTTTCCAAGAACGGTACACTGATGACGTTTTCGTTCGCGTTCAGCAGGCCAAGACTGAGTATTTCATAATATGGACCGTTTCCACCAGTGACACGCTGGTAAGCAGGCCCATGATACACCAAACCCTAGTTTTCTACTAATTGGCCAAGTCTAGGAGGGGCTCTGCTTCAAGAGCGCTGCCACCAGTGTCGTACCTGGAGAGCGATCGATGACAAGTGTTCAGACAGTCGACTACCGTAGAACAGGCGCTGCATGTTTGTAACGAGCTTTCAGTTTCCCGCAGAGGAATTGCGTACAGATGTTTTATCGTTTAGTGGGGAAACTCTACAACGCGTCAGTTGCCATGAAAAACCAAACTTCAACTACTTCCCGGAGTTTTTAATGGGTAAGATAACTCACAGGCATCTCTTGAGAGGTAAATGTAGTCCTGGGGCGACAGTCGTGAGTTATCCGGCCAGTCCAATCCACGACAGGGTCTCATACGTCAAAAGATGTCTGGACGAATGGGACGATGCGAGTGGAAACCCAGAGGCTCAAACATTATCTCATATCGCTCGAATTGTGCGCGATTCCGACTTCGATGTCGTTGAGCTCGTCACTGCAGGCGACGCGACAACTGCGAATGGCACGACTGTCAAGCGAAGGGTCCACGTTGTCTTCCGACAAAGAGCCAGAACCACTGGTGCTGTCAGCGAGGCGTTAGTTGAACAGGCTCTGTAACCGGCTCCGTCAAAGACGTGCAACATCGATCTGTCCCCAAAAGATTTGTCAATTTTCTGGTGAAGTTGCAGCCTACTAAATCCAGACTACAGCGTGAGACTTTATGATTTTCTTAGCGGTTCGACGACTTCTGAATAGAGACTGTTCCGCGTTTCGCGTTGCTCCTCCTCTTTTGTTAAAAATAACTTTCGGTTACACATATAGATTACAGAAGTCGAGGTACATAGGTTTTTCATCGAATCACGACGAAATTATAGGACATAACTTATTTTATCCCATTTTTTCCGACAACACCTTGCTCTTTTCTATTCACGTAGCGGAAAGTTTATTGAGGTAGGCACGTTTTAACCAATGGAATTCCTATCCCCTCTTGAACAGGGGACAGTTTATGCTAAGCCCCATGTTTGCATTTTTTGTGTAAAAAAAACCCAGAGGCGCTTCTTATTGTCGCCCTGTCACAGTGAACAATAACCCCGCAAAGACAAGACCCGGGACATAAAACACAAACAAGTTCACGTGTACAAACAATCTGTATCACATTGTTTCTAGGCCCTTCATCGAAACGAAGGTAATCAGCCCTTCATCAGTTGGAGTTCTCTGTTTCTACAGAACAGGCATGCATTCATTCAAAAATAAGCGTACTCCGATCCGCTGGCTTCCCGAAGCCGACAGGCCCTAGTTAAGTGGGAGGGATCACGAAGATGCAACCACCCGACAGTTCGACCGTCGATTCTGACGATTTCTACCGTGTGCTACACACCAAGGTGCAACGGGCAAGGGGACTTGTGCGGGAATTAGTTTAAAGTGATGGTAGACTTGGGCCACATCTGCCGCACTCTCTCTTCCCCACTCCCCATCTGTAATCGGTATCAAGACAGAGGAGAGAAGACCGGATGTGGGGGGAGGAAGCAGGTGGCTGGCACGGCCGGACCCGCACTTAGGATAATCACAATACCATGCACTTAACCGGAATTTTTAGCCATCAACAACAACAAAAACACCGCAACAGGAGTCAGCAGGACGAGGATGATGACTGGGCAGCCATGCCCACCACCTGTATACCCAGCGGGAGCGAACGCGCATCTATCGGCAGGGAACCAAGGTGTCAGGGAACTGCCAGCGCATACCAGGCTGCGAGGGTCATAGTTTGCTGATACTGGCATAGTACACGCTTTCAGACCTTTTGACTTGCAACCACCCACCAGGCCAAACTCGACAACTACAAGTTGTTAATGGACGCCAGACGGATGGACCAGGCGGCCTCTTACACGCAGTCTAAAGAGCGCAAAGCGCCTTAAGGTTTAATATGAGGGTGACATTTCCTACCTTAAATAAAAGAGATAGTTGCATGCGCCGGGTGCATATAAAGGTAAATCACTGCAACTCCAACTATCCCCTCTAAACGAAATTAAGGGCCAATCTTATATGACCCACCCTAAGTAGAAGAGGGTTGTTTGCTTTGTGTAAACATATTATTACAAAATAAGGCAGTGCTATCGTTGAGCAAAAGGCCTCAAATCCTCCAGACAATTTTTTTTCACTCCAGGGGGTGGGCTGGCCGTAGAACGCGGACAGTCAGCTTCCTAGAATCTAGAGGGACAATACCTTACAACGAAGTTCCCCTCTAGCTGAGTTGTTATCGTCAATGTCGCCGTTTGTCTTAGCAACAGAGACGAGAACTCACGCAATCCGGACCTAACGCTGTCCTGCGTATCCGTCTACTGTCCTGAGCTCAGTAACGGGATATCTGTCTGACTAGGAGGTTGCCTGTCTGGCTAGCTGCAGGGCGGCCATTATAATGTGACCTCAAAATATATTTGTACTGATATTTTCAAAGTTGTGCTTTTGGTAAGGGGACATTTATGGTCACGAAACTAGGCGTTCCATCGCCATTATCGCAGTCGCCTTCAGGGCTGAAGCAGCTAACTGTGTAACTGTTTGCCGGGTGTCGGCCTTTTGGCCGAAAACCGTTGCGAGAATTTTTGACAACCAGTTTTTACAACCCCAGGTAGGTGCTATAATTACTACACTGGTCGTCAACTGAGGTAGGGACGAAGACAGAAACGAGGAGCCACAGTGATGCATTGACCTTCTCTGGATTGCCAGATTCTACGCCAGGGCGGGATGGCCCTGTTCGGTTTAACAAAAACTGTTAAATTCACCAAAGAAGGCAGAATGGCATTACCGACAAAGACAAGGGAGACTGGAATGGCCATTTCTGGCTTATTAATAACCGCCGTCATCCTGTCACACCCAACCCCGAAGTGTGGAAAACCCGAGACTCGAACTCGCGACTTGTTAGTTAGATGTCCACGCCTCTAACCACTGGGCCACGAGCCCGTTGCCCTGTCGGTTTCGATCGGGAAAATACAATGGTAGGGGGCGCTCACCGATCGTTCTTACGAAACTCACTCGTTCCGCTGTGCCCTATGGGCTCTCTCTCGAGCCCTATTAACAGCCGCAGAACGGGGCATGATTGGCTGACGACGACTAATAAGCCAGAAACGGCCATTCCAGTCTCCCTTGTCTTCGTCGGTAATGCCATTCTGCCTATATCATGCGCCGCTGTGCGGCTGCTGGGTGGGCTCGAGAGAGAGCCCATAAGGCACAACGGAACGAGGGAGTTCTGTAAGAACGATTGGTGAGCGCTCCCTACCATAATCAGAAAAGGTTGAAGTGCCAGTTGTCCCAACGGGAAAATTAATGAGCTGTCAAGTCACACAGATACTCTGCAGGGCCATTCAGCGTTCCCAGGGAATAAATGACCATACATGCATATCATAACTACTACTATTACACCAGTAATATGGCTACAACTACTTAACTCCTTCAAGATAGAGAAAAACGCCAATAATGCAGGATCCGTCATCTCTGAAAAACACGTACTTTAGTTTGATTTTCTTTACGACACAGAGATTCGGTAACGGGCAGTTAATTCGTCCACCTGATGCCACAGTCCGTTAAGGAGCCTGTTCCACTGAATTCATCTTCATTCTAGAATGCAGATGTTGATGAGGGGTTTTGGTCCAGGAAAGCAGGAAGTGGTTTTCCACTCGTTTCGACAAGGCCACTGTCACACTGCGTCTGCCAATGGGGCCGCACGTGTCGCTACGGCCCGTGTTTTCCTACTTGACTAGAGCAAGTGTTCCCCCCTGGATCCGGAATTCAGACAGATGACAGAACACCCGAGTCTATCGCTGTTAGCCGCTCATGGTTAAAGTCTGTCCAGGGAGCTGCCGCACTTTGTGGCGACCGACGCTGTTGCCCCCTTCTGGCATAACACTGTAGCTTTGTATGGCGATCGTCCTAACCTCTGATGTTAGACGTCTTAGTTAGCGGGCGTCGTGGCACTACTTCCGGACGTATTTCACGTTGGAAATGCGGATGTCTTAGCTGAGGCATGCAAGCAATTAACAGCCTTTTAAGGGTGTTCGAAATTTTCTCCTCCAACATTGGGATTTTTGGAACCTGCCCACAAAACAGCACTGGCTATAGGGCATATTTGCGACCTTCGTGGGTTTTTTGGCAGGCTGATGCGGTTGCTTTTTTCAAAATTCAATACCACCTCCCTCGCATAGCAGTCCCAAATCACAAAAATTATCCAACAGCGTAAAACAGCTGGATGATCAAATTCAATTTCGGAATAACTTTGCTCGAAGGGCGGAATAACCAGGGAATTTTGAGAGCTTTTCCTTGTTATGTCCGCCGTAGACGGTGAAGACCACCATTGATACGGATGAGACCCAGCGGTGACTTGCTCTACCACTAGCTCATCTCACTCTGCCTTGGAGCTGAAATGCGGGCGAGTTCAGTGCCAGATAAGGCAAAAAACCCTTCTTCTGTACGACTGCTTCCCGCAACTTGCCTCTTCGTTTTTCCTAGCAAACTCCTCTATGCGTGCCACGCACACCCTGTTCCCTCAGCGACACGCATACTGGACATCCATGAGGAAGTACCGGGTTTCCTGGATGTGGGAGTACCTCAAGTTTTACATTAAGAGGGAACCATTATAGTCTAACCATCGTTCCTAGAGAAACCAAGTTATTCTGTTGGCTATCCGATTTCCAGGTTAAGACTCTTAGCGCGTCGGGATTGTACCGAAATTATTATAGTCCTGAATGCGCTAAGTTGCCTTAGAGGTGGGCACTGCAGCATCTGCCTAGCCCTACCATCCTTTAATCATCCGCTGACGGCCTGTCTGAATCCTACGACTACCTGCTTACGAGACAGGTTCGGTGGTTAAGACGTGCATCGACGTGTCGCACTCATGTTCCTGCTATGGGCTGAATGGCCTCCAGTGTACAGTCTACAACGCCTTTGATGTTTTACGTGTTTTAGTGAAACAAACAGTTTCGCCTAGCGTCAGTTTCGAAGTTTGGTATGAACACTCCTAATCCACCACAGGATTTAAACCGATGTCTTCTGATATATTAGTCCCGCAATTCGGCAATTATGCCGAAGTATTTTAGAACATTTTCTGCCCAAGCAAGGGCTATATGAGTCCGAATTCCTGCGACATTCCATCAGTAAAATATCCAACTTTACATACTTTCGTTTTTGTTTACTGCGCTTCTTAGCATACTGCGTCTAAAATCCAGTCCGCCCGCACGTTTATTTTGTGCTTCCGGTTTCTTTTAGGCGGCCACTGCGTTGACATTTCAGGCATAATCAAGGATGGAGAACAGCAGTGTAAGACCTATTTAACCGTCCCCTGTTTTTTTTTCAAAAACCGAATATCCACATTTGCGCGGCCAGATTTTTTCTGTGTTTTATCGTATCGCATATCTCAGTTCTCGACCCTGCATAAAACACCCAATGGGTTGGGCCTAAACGCAGGCGTGCACAGATTGATGAACTTGTAGACTTCGAGGGAAGAGGGTCATCATGGTCCCTAAAGGAGCCATCATTCCCCTGGTCCTTACAGGCTGTCGATGAGAGCCGAACGATCGGGTTTGCACTGCGTGTGCCCTTTGGAACCAGTAGGCGGGAGTCGGAATTCACAAGCCCTTTCCAATGGTGGGCTACAGTTGGCAGTTGGACACGAGAGTAAGTCCGTCGCAGTATATCCCAATATAGAGTCTACTTATTCGATTTAGGTAGGTGGAAAAATCAGTTTATCAGCGGATAGGGCTACTTGCAGACCCGGACTGCGGAACTCATTGGCGTGTCAGAGGTTATTAGAGAAGACTGGCTGCGTGAACATGAGGCGTACTGGCCACCGCTGGAAGTGTGTGCGTAAAGCCAACGGGTCTAAGCACCAGCCCAGAACGTACTGGATATCGTTTACTTCCCAGCTATTGGGAGCAATCGTTTGGTATGCCTATGCAAACCCAGGACGTATGCGTGGCCCCGCATGACGTTGTTTGCTTCCGCGGATTAGCAGGCGCATGGGTTCACCAATCGGGGATGCCTGCGCGAACCCTTTCACGCGGCCAGATGGGGTACCAATGGAAGACCGGCTGAAGACAGCGATGTCACATGAAACGGTAGATAAAGCGTAGAAAGAAACTGCAGATCTTGGTTTTCGGGCCATGGAGCTTCTAACCGGAACAATGAGGGTAAGTAAGAGAAGGGTGATTGGCTGCCGACATTGGCATGGGAGAAGAGCGGGGGACGCATTCCCGCGAGCCAGTAGATGACAAACAGAAGACCAAGTAAGAACTAAGAAGCTCACTGACACTCACCGTCCGATCTCATTGCCCATCAGCAGGAAATCGGTCGGTCTCTGCTAGGTATGATCTAACAGATTCGCAAGACGAATCTAGGAATGCGTAAGCCCACAACAGCGATCTAGGCATCATCCACTGGATTAGAAAGGAATCTAAGTATGGGGCCATTGGGACACACGGCAATGTCTCTCGAGGACCAAGTAGATTTCCTTCGACGTTGTTGGCAGCATGGCTTGCCTTCTACAGTTTGAAGTCGTTGACTGAATTAATAATAATAATAATTTTTTATTAAAGACAACAGCCGGCAACACGAAAACAGAGCAAATGACCATTTCAAGCGACCTTGTTGGTGACTAATACGAGACCGACCGTCGAATATGACGCGCATCGGACACGTTATGCAAGATTTAGGCGAAAGTGGCAGGAATCAATTCGGCCGACTAAACTTCAACCAGATATGGAGGGAAGAAGGCGTTGTTGACGGAAGTAGGCCTCCACAGATAATTGTTCATGTGTACCAAACTAAATCAACTAAGTAGGCGCTACAGGAATGTAATCCCCGTGTCCAACCTAGTCAGCAAATTAGGACGGATATGCGAGACGTATCCTGCGAAGAGCAGGAATACGGTAGGAGTTATTTTTTGTTTCGTTTCCCTTATCGGTAGGCTGCATCTCAGTCTCAGGTAGAGAAAGCCAGAGATTCGAACACGACCCCCTTGGTTATTGCGCGTTATCCCATACTCGTTTCTGCAATGCTTCTAAACTATTCCTTGCCTGTTGTCAGGAGACCGCCTGCAATTACTGTAGGCTGGAGCTCTGAGGCAAAACGCCGTGCCGGTATAGCCTAGTGCGATCAGATTTTCGCCTTCAAGTTCCGCTTGCGTGACAAACGGATTAAACTCGAAATTACAGAACTTGCCACAGTAGTCTAGTGGTTAGATTGCTATACGGGTAAAGGGACCATCGATTTAATTCTCGGTTGGAACTTAAAGTTTATTGTGCCTCTAGTCTTATGTTTCAGGCTGGAATTGTAATAATTCGCGAAATCAACCTACACAATTCCTGCAAAAGAAGCTCAGATCAGCTTATTTTTTACTCTTCATTACGAATAAGCCACCGCTACAGTCAACTGATGTCTTCTCTTGCTTTCAAGTTTACCTAAAATCTATTAATAGGAACTTCTAACTGCCTAAAACAGTGGTAAACATGTGGCAACTTTAACTTCCTCCAACACAACAAGCGTAAATTACTCCGAATTCTCTTTCTATCCTGCTGCCCATTTACATTAATTTCTCAAGGTCACTGATTGTTCGTTTAGTTTACGTCAAACATTTAGTGCGCGCGCCCTCATAGCATTTTCCTTCCTTTTAGGCACCACCTGCAATACCGGGAACGCACAAATCAAGTACTACTCAATAATTTGTGAGTAATTATTTTTTTGATTCCGTTAATACTGGGTTTAAAACATAAACATTAAACAGCACATTTCTTTAAAAGCATCAGTGATGTGAGCTGAGAACACCAGTTTGGGTTGTGGATTTTCTCCTTTCATCCCGCAATGGCTGGAAGTGAAGTATGTGAGCAGACGTTTTCTGAGCGCTACGAGTCGAGGGACCGCTCCCAATGACTGCTGATTTTATAAACCTCCTACGCTACTGACTACAGCCGTACTTCACTTCCAATCGACAAAGAACTCAGGGAAACTACGACGCACGTTTCGGTCCGTTTTAAACGTCGTTTTTGGCGATGAGTACAGTTGGTGTTTCCCAAATGTCAATTTTGACCGTGGAGGCCGCATCATTGTAACTGTTCAACAACTCATGTCAGCCCCAGAGACATAAACGAATGCCAACTTCACAGACCCGGCTTGCTGAAACAATGGTCTCTGCTCCCCTCCCTCCACCCCTTGGTGGGGGGGAGTCATTATACTCGGGATTCAGAAAGTCCGCTCCCAGGAGACAAGTCCCAAACTCCAATACTAACTACTCCCAATCATGCACTGTCAATGTGCACTGCGACAGAAGCCCTGAACGACTCCATCATTGTGGTCTGTTCACCACGGATCAATACCCTATAATTTTGGGGGGACGAAGATTCAGAGACCGAAAAAGAGTTGCCAAAGTCGGGAGAACCATCGCCTAGCATCAATGAGGTCTTTGAGGCCGTCTTTGGGTGCAGTCCTAAATACTCGTGTCGTAAGCCAGTTCGATGCCCATTTTGGAGATGATGATAAGACCAAGTGACGAGCACACAAGACTAGAATGCGCGCACATGGGCCACCAACGCCCAAACCTTATGAATTTGACTCCACTATCAACAAACTTTTAGGGTCTGGACTGGTTTTCTTGGACAATTTCGGAATCACCGCAGCAGCAAACTCGCCCTCCGTTCAACAAGACATCGCCATCAGCATCAACGTCTTTAGTGGCAAACAAACTAAGGCTCCTGCTTCTACGCGCGTCTTGAGCGCTGTTTTATCCACAAAAGAGCGGTCGGGTCGATTTGGGGTACAAGTCTTTGTTCAGCGTAAACACTCGTTCGGCCTTAACTTGCGTATGGCTTCGTTTATTGCATCGCCTGGTTTCTATAATTTTTTTTCGTGTGCTTCGAGACGCACGTATTGGCCAGATGCACACTTATGAGGGACTTCTAGACTTCCATAGTAATCGTCCAACTTCTGATTGGTTGTCTGCGTGTGCCAGTGAAGTCGCCCGACTTAGTGCTAACTTCTGGATGGGTGGTTATGTTTCCCACTCACGTAACGCGCGTTGTCTGTTCTCACATGCGCTTATCGTTTGGTCCTTCCTATATGGAGTTCTGTGTAACAAATGCAATAGGCGGGGACTACGCCACACCAGCCATTGTACCCAGTTTCATCACCAAACGGTCTACAAACTTTGAAAGGTCTTTTCTGATCAGGAAAAAGAAGAGTACGACTGGTAATATAGAAGAGTCTTCCACCATGGTAAATCGGCACATTCAACACAATTATAAATTTTACGCACTAACAGTCGCGGCTTTGAAGGCTTCCAACCTAAGGAATAGTTCGGTCCCTACATTGGAGCAAGATTTGGGTTACAACGGTTCTCTGATGGTACGCCCACATGCATGAGAGTTGAGCGCCTCCTTGAATGAAACCTGTATCAAGTCGCGTGTAGCACACAGACGGGCCGGTTGTCTTCGTCAGGCATTGCATTGTTTTATCTTTTGAGAAAAGAATGAGACAGGTGCGCCGTCATTGATAGACCCACACACCGTAAGTCGCGACTGCGCCCCCTCCCATGGAACAGTGGTGGACCTCGTCCAATGCTCCGATCGGATTGTCGTCTAATACCCCCCCTAGGTGTTTTGCCTTGTAAGCTCCTCTCATTCTGTTTTTCGATCTCTATAGGTGTTTGGCCGACTGACCCTTTCCTAATTTTTGGCATCGAGAGAGGCCCGTGCGCAGTCAAGAAAATTCCTAAATTATCTGAACTCTGTCTCGTTTGCATCCTTATCTTGTTTGAAATTACATCCGTCCATGTTGCAGCACTGAGACTCTCATCTTGGGCCCTGCATGTGGTCGCACTAGCGATTGAAGGTTTCACTGCGTTCGGCTGTATGTTCTACTTGGCAAAGGTTCGCTGCTGTACGGAATCTCCCAGTGCACAAAAGGCCCAAACCTGTCTCAGCGCATCCGGTTTTCTCCTTTGGACAGCAGGTATATCCTTGTGTTTTAAAGATAGCAAGCAATGCCTCCGAAAATCAAATATACATGTATAATGGTAGAGGGGCGCTCACCGACCATTCTTACCGAAATCACTTTTTTCGGTGTGCCTTACGGGCTCTTTCTATCTCGAGCCCAGCCAGCAGCCGCACAGCGGCGCATGATTTGAACAGAATGTTATTATCGACAATGACAAGGAAGACTGAAATGGTTGCGGGATCGAGCCCCAGGTGTTCTATACTTCGGGGTTGGGTATGACTGACTGATAACAACTACTAAGCCAGAAATAGACATTCCAGTCTCCCTTGTTATTGTCGGTAATAACATTTTGCATATATATGTATATATTGAGACCGAGGCTCAGGCGTTGTAAAGTGTGGGTTTGGGCAAAGCTGGCTGGCTGGCTGAGACGACTAATAAGCCAGAATGGGCTTTCGCAGTCTCTCTTGTATTTGTCAGTATTGTCCTTCTGCGTATGCAGATGAAGGGGTACCAACAGAGACGAGAGAGAATCGGTGAGGCTTCTTCTTTCTTATTAGCCATCGTTAACAGTCATAGCCAAACCGAGGTTCGACAAACCTGAGTTTCGAACTCCGGTTCTTTGGTTATCCATCGTTAAGTGGTCCAGCGCTATGCTACGGAGCCAAGGGTGCTTTTTGGTAATACTCATGGATACGTTACGACTAATAATTGAGAACAGGCGTGCACAGCAGCATTTCAGGGTAGGGGGAAATTGCTGCAAAATTGGAGTATCTACCAGAAAGCAGACGGGGAATGCTGGGGGACCCACTGATGAGCCGAAGCCCTCGCAGCTGTGTCATGCAGCGGCAGAATATCGGCGAAGCATGCGTGTATGGACCTTTGGCTAGTACCTGTGCTGTTAGTATGGTATCCCCTTACCCTGAAATATACTACCAGCTGCCTGCCCGCAGTTAATGAATATTATGCGGTTACCAGCTGTGACTGATGGACTTTGTCCCAAATAGTCATGACATAAAAATTTCGGTCTGAGTCTGTAGACCTAGAATATACTGATCAACTCCAAGTTCGCACTTAACTTCTGAGGAAATTAAAAAGCAACAACAGCAGAAGTTATAAGTAACGACAAATTTCGTGACAGCTCATCAACTGCAACCCGTCTTTGCATAGAAGCGAACAGCAGTTTGTATTTGTACAGAATGCCAGTACATAAGAGCTAGGTCAGAGTTCACTGCAACGCATGATCTTCCATTCATATACTCGAAGGAAGGGTTTAATTGGGTGTTCAAAATCTGTTCCGATTCCTGAATAATTTTGAACCCGCTCTACCGTTACACTTGGATTCAGGGTTTCCAACCTACGAGCCGTATAGTTTCCGCGTACGGAAAACCATACATTTCTCTACGTCACTAAAGGGGGGACCATATAGGCCTCATAAAATTTAGCAGTGGATCTGTTCCATATTATTATTAACTTTACAAGCCACATTAGTAAATGCAGAGGCATGATGATTTATGAACAGCCATTTCACGATACTTAGAAGTCCCGCAATTAGAAACTTTTTTATGTCCGAATTATGTCCCTCCTTCGAGTATAAAATTAAAAGAAAAAGTAATTTTCTACCGAACGAGTTAAGGAATGAATATTTTTATGAATGTTTTCCATGAAATATAATTGAACTTTTAAATGCATCAAAAATCAATGAGAAAATTCACGCTACTTTAGTATGCATTTTTTGCAGAGTGTAGTTTTAGCATGCAGCCGAAAAGAATTTCGTTCGAAAGCCAGCATCCTGAGATAACTGAACTATTATCGAATTATACTGCAGACTGATTAGTTTTACAACTCTAATTAATTGATCTTTTCGAAACGAAAACGCATTTCGGAATTTCAATTGACATTTCATGAGTTAGCCCACCTACTGTAGTCCTCTCTGTCGTGCAGCAAAAGTGCCGCTTGACAGTGTTCGAGACGTTATCCACCTTAAAAGTTAGGAGCATAACAACGGACATTTTCGGCGCGGACTGTTCCGCCAATTTTGGCCGTAAAGGTTTGCTGTACTTTTGAATGAAGCGTGCAGGATAAACACGAACAAGTATCCAGGGTCTCAGTGGATCAAATATTTCTCGCTTTTTGAAAAATAGTATATACCATAATTCTTCTCCGTTGTATTTGCTGGAAGCTTTTAGCATTTAAATGTTTTCCTTTCCACGTAATTTTGAGGAAGACAGAGCGCCTTATTGAACCATCATCCCCTCTAAACATGAGGACGTCTACGAAGTGTAGCTTGTTACACTGCTTCATTTCGATCGGGAATTAAATTTTCGGATGAAAATTATTCATCTCAATAATTAGGTCGACGGCGTCTTCCTTATTATTAACAATCGTGAATATATCAACCACATATCTACTGTCTGACTAATAAGCCAGGAAAAGTCATGCCAGTCTCACTACTGGCCGCTATGCGACTGCTTGCGAGGACTCTAAACTGAACTTCACCGCATCACAGGACGAGTATGTACCCTAAGTATCTACCCTATCGTAATTTGAATCTAAGAAAAAAATGCGACCTCGGGAACCACAATTTTACTGTCGTGATGCTTCAAAAAGAAAACAAGATTCTACCGTCGGATGTGAGGCGGCAAGACGCTCGAGGACTCCTTCCTCACTCCTTTCTCCCTGCCGCCCGACTGCAAACGTAAACCTGTCTACAAATACTGTGAGGCACAATACCACAATCACCTTCAACAATGGAAGCTCGTTTGCTTTTTAAACGTCAGGACAGTAAAACCATGGCACCCCACATCACTTTTTCTTCTCATTTATGTCGGAGAACGTGCATCTTCCTTTCTATTAGCAATATTTATATTGTTCGGGACAATACTTTATAAGGTCAGACCGAAAATGTTAATGGACATCTAAGTCGAGAACAGTCAACTACTGTGGAATGAGCACGTAATGTATACTCGATAAACAATTAGTACTGTCAGTATTATGCTTTTATATGGTAGATGTCTGCACCGTACTAAGACATAGATACTAGCTAAAAGCCCAGACATATTTTTCGTTGGCCACTTAACTCCACGTCCCACACCCAATAATTTATGAACTTTTTGGCAGGATCTATATATATTTATTAGGGAGATGAAATTTTTTGAGAAACTGTAACTTTTAGTGTGTAAATTTTCGAGACTGCTCCCTCAAGAAAAGTTACAGGTTCCCAAAGAATTTCATCTTCCTTGTTAAATTTCTCGGGACGCCTGTTTTCCAACTTATATATATTTGGAAAAAAACAAAGACTATTCGGAAAATCAGGTTGTATTCATGAATTTTCAAGTTTGTGACACCAACTTGTCGTCACACCAAACGAAAAAAGGAGAATGTGTCATTTTCTCAATAGACCTATATACATGTATACTTGAAAGAGATTCGAACTTGGATTCTTATGTGTTACTGCGAACGGATATTTGGTAAGATGTGGTTTGGTAGCCCCACCTGATGAACACAATACTGTTGGGTTTGGGGTTAAGATTAAGGATAAGGGCTAGGCGTTATGGTTAGGGATTAGGGCTAAAGGTTAGGCTTAGGGGTTGGGCTTTAGGGCTAGGGGTTATAGTTAGGGACTAGGGTTAGGGTTAGGGGTTAGCGCCACTATTTCTCAACGCCTGAAAGTATAACCACTTACGCCGAATAGCTTTTCTTTTGCATACAACTACTTGACCTCGTCGCCTGTGCGTTCCCCGGCTCCACCTGTAAAAACCTCTATTACCACCGGTTCCGTATTAGAGGCATCTGAGGTTTGTTTACTTCAGATGGGGCCACCAAACCACATCCGACCGAAATAAGTCCTTTTTACAAATGTAATAAACTGTATGCTGTAAATTTTTTGCAGTCTTAAAAGAAGTATGCACCTTCCTGAAGACCAAAATTTAGAATCCCTCCGCAAAATCGGCTGTCATAACTGACTCACTCCATTTAACGTGTAGATAGCAATCTTCTTTAAATCCGCTATTGCATCAGCACACCTAACAATGAAATTATACCCAAATCGCATGTCTAGATGTAAACGTAGATTGAAATCCTTCTCCGTAGTCTGTTTAAACACAAATTTGGACCCAACAGTTAGTAGGCAAGGCAAACAAGTTACATCCGGCCTCCGGAACCCTGACGGGAACCCTGTGAAATACGTTTTATCAGAAGTGTACGTCGTGCAGATTTTCCGGATATTGAAGTGATGAGAGTTTTTATTGCAAAAAGCCAGCATCTAAATTTGGCTGTCAACAACAGCCATTCAGTGCACAGTTTTTTGTCATTTATTGCAAGGGCTGACATGCCTTTCATCTTCCTCCTTTCAGCCATTTTCGCAACGATAGGAAACATTGTCTTCTCGTACGGGCTTACCACCGAAAAGATCTACTCAGGCGACGGGCTAAATGCCGTCTACGCTAGCCAGTCGGCGGTAAGGCAAAAAATGCTGATCTTGACATTTTTGCGACCGCTTTATACCACCCAGTTATGTTTTAACTATTAAACGCCGCGGAGAATTCGCGAAAAAGATGACGATTGTATATCTTTTGAGGAGGACAAGTCCGGCGCGGACTAAGACACTGCTTCATTATTTAAATATATACCCCGGCATGAGCACCCAGAAAATCTTAAATGTCGGAAAATTTAGTTTCTATGGAGCCAAGAATAGCAAGTAGCGTTTTGTTCATTCTTTGCGCTCCATAAATGGTGATTCGTTCAATGTGACCCTTAACTAGGCCACGCGATAAATGTGCTGGACCAGCATGGAACTAGATCGGGGTCCAGCAGACGCTATTGAGAATGTGAACGCCTAACAAATTCCAACATTTGGGTTATGGTCACACGCCCAGGTGCAGGCTCACGCCGCGCTGCTTTGAATCCGAACCGCCGCCCTCTTCTCTTATTGTGCGTAAAATCCTGGTCAGTGTGCGTTGTAGACCAGGGAGTGTGGTGGTACACCTAGATATGGGTTTACGCTGCGCCAGCTACCTGCGGCCTCTCCTACCTCCGGCCTTCTGGACTTGGTCATGGCACCGGGCCCGGGGCGGGGGGGAGGAGAGGGTGTGGTAGACGCGGCGCAAGTTTACTATCATTATTCGAAAAATCCGACGCAAGTCACCGTCTCCGCTTTCATCGTGCTGTGGACATCACCGTACAATGGACATCGTCGGTAACGACCATAGTACTGGCATATTCGTTCGCTACACTATTATCCTGCCTCTTTAATGTAGTATTAGAAGCCTAAAACAGTCAATTGCAGGGTATTGTTTCAAAATGCAGGATCGCCCTTTGCCTAGATCAGTGTTTTGTCCATCTTCTGCGTGCGGAGAAGACGGCATCAAGTCCACTTTGCATGCTTTCAACAAACTTTGCGATCCCCGTCAAAGATCGTTATTTTCACTCCGGGCACAACGTCATAACCAATCAGGAGCACCTTTAGCTGATGATGCAGTGAAGCGTTACCCTCTCAGATGCTTCAGTCGTACATTCTGCGAAGGGAGCCTGTCGGTGACATTGTCTCCCCGAATCGCAATCGAATCTGGCGCCATCATTATGGTGTCCAGTAAAACATTAGGACCGATGTTGTTGAGTCGAACCTGGACCGACGATCTTGGGCGTTTGGGGATGAAATGTCCCCCGGACGATGCCTGAGGTCATGTCTCGGTAATCGCTAGGTGTGGTCAACCTATTCCCCTGTGAAATCCCGAATGACTGATTGGCATCCAGTCGCCTTCCTGGTCCAATCGACTTTATCCAGTTTCTATTGAATATTTCTGGTGTCGCCTGCATCGCACGCCACAGCAAGGTTGAATGCTCGATGCTTCCTTGACTTTCTCCGTGGCTCTACTTATAACAGGGAAGCAGTCGACATAAACAAACACTTCGGGTGTTATAGAAATACACAGAGAGGACTCGTAAATCCTATTGTTATTCACTTTACAGTGACATTCCACAATTAGTCTTCATTTATTGAACCTGCATTCAGGCAGGAACGCTTTTGTTGGATGGGCCTAGTTGCCATCCTCTTTCAAAAAAATCAATTAAGTTTCTCCCAAAACGTCCTTACTTGCCATAAAAACTTAATGAAAGTCCAGCGCACATCCCTTTCACAAAACCTAAATGCATTCTATTTGTCGCAAATTACATGTGTTGGTACGCGCAGTTCGAAGGTTTTAATATAACTTGTAATAAGGACAACGATAGGGTGTAGGACCTCCAACTAACTTGAGCTAGCCTGTGGACCGTGTCATACGTTGAATGGTGGTAGAGGGCGTTTTAGGGGTGGGACAACACACAGGCCTGAGGGCAAGAAGACACAGAAAATCGATAAAGTTCTGTCGAAAGTCTTATTTTACGCTCTCATTTGGCAAAGAAAGTGAGCGCGATAATTAAAAAATAACCAAGAAGCAATTTTCATGAAATAACGGTTTTTAAACAAAGCACCGCTTGTAAGTTTACATTTAGTGTGGAAGAGGAGGAAATTTCAGACAATGAGAACTATGAATAATAAGTGATGTTTACAGACACACCGAATCGTGGGATATATATTTGTAGTTGTCATCTACTCTTCAGTCCTAAACCCTATCGTTACCTCAGTAAGTTAGCTCTCTCATGAAATGTTAACAGAAAGTCTGAGATATGTTTTCGATTGGAAAGGATTGACAAAATGGAGTCGTAGTATTGATTATCCCAAGATATTCCAATCACTCCAGGGTGCCGGTTTTCAAATGCGTTTCTTTCCGACCACCTGCAATAACCACTCACGTCAAAAAATGACTGCTTACGGGATTTTAATTTTTCCAAGGTTTTCGATAAACTTGTGAATTTCAATGTGTTTTATAGAAAGCACGTGCAATAATATCCCCTCTGATATTTTTTGGTATCAGATCACGTCTTCTAAAAAATCTCTACTTCAAGACAGGACATATTGAATTTTTAAAAGCATTTATCATAATAAGATTTTTTGAAACCGTGAAATGAACATTCACATAACATTATAACCATTCATGTTTAAGTGTCTTGTATCATGCATCACAGTTCGCATGAAGTGCGAAATTGTAGGAGTTCTAATCGGTATCTTCTTAATTGCAAGGAGGTATATGTGGTTTACCTTACATGGAAAGAACACAGCTTGTACTTTGAAAACAGTAAATGAAAAGGTAAGGCCAGATCAGGTTTAAAATTATTCGAGGACTGATAAACTGTTCCTAAAGTCGAAAGATACCCTTTTTAAGTGCAACATTTGAGAAAGATGTGATCCTCTATTAAAGGATACTTTCGAGCGTACTTTCTATAAGATGTATGTTAATTTATAAGGACATCATAATTCAGTGGAAAATGTACCGCACTTAGGTAGCCATTTTTACCAATTGTAATTATTACAGATGGTCGAAAAGAGGTGCATCCAAAAGCGGGCATCCTGTCATGACTGAAGTATCTTTGGGTTATGCTGAATGCTAACCAATATTACGTCCCCACCCGGGTAATTCCTTCTAATCTTAAGCGCACTTCTGAATTTTTGTTAACATTTCGTGTTCTGTGCTCCAGCAAGTACTCCTTCTGAAACTCAAATGGAAGAGTTCAGTGCGGGATTTGTCTAACCGGTAGAGATATGGTATGCGGTCGGGACAGGTTTTCTACGCAATACTCACTACTATATTTATCTAAGTAGGCGTCTTCGGGTTAAGTTATTCCTCGTGCACCAGTCACGCCCTAGCATACGCCAGTCAGGTATTTGTTACCTTGACCTGTGTTCCCCTGTTACACAACAAGACTCTCGTTGCATACATTCCCGATTTTCAGGGTCGTATCTCCTTCAAATTTTAGACCTGGCAGAGTGGGGCAGCAGAGACTTTCGACACATCAATCATCTTCACTTGGCTCAGCATCTGTCTGGCCTTCACTGCCAGTTGGCTCTGGCTTTCGGCAGCTTACGTACAGACGCCAGCTCACGTCTCCTTCAATCCCACCAGCATCACAATCTCCCAGACACCGCTCTTCTCGACCACCAAGTCCCTGGCACGCACTTAAAGTCACCCATAAGGATAGGAAGGCTAGATTGTAATACACATGTTTGCACTTAATACCTCCGACTCCCGCATTGTGATATATTGCTATCTTTCGGAAATACACTCAAGCCGTCAGCAACTCCCCTCCTCCCTCCTTGAGACACACTTCTCCAACCGCTGACTGTGTTTCCGTTGTTGTGTGATCTTTCGTTTTTCGGAATTTTGAAACAAATTTACTTCTTCCATCTGATGCACGCATTTTCGGACTAATTCCTATTTTACCCTTACATCTGGAGGTATAGAGTTGTCTCTTATGTACCTTGCTCTTGTGAGAATCTGCTTGTCAGAGCTATACATCTCCTGTGACTAGAAAGGTTTTTCAATTTAAAGTTCCAACTTATTCAACAGTAGCCGAGCTCAAACACGACGAAGGTACAGCGAACAAAACGGTATCAAGACCAGTGGGTGATGCTGGCCCGCAACTAAAAAAATCATTGAAATAAAAGTACCCAACAGTGGTCACTGTAGGGGAGGTGTTAACGGTAAGACCTTATTTCGTAGCCGCAGCTGTTAGGAGTTAGGGTTAGGGTTGGGGTTAGGGTCACGGGTCAGTGTTAAGGGTTAGGGGTTACGGTTGGGGTTAGGAGCAAGGGTCAGGGGTTAGTGTTAGGGATTAGGGCTAGGGGTTGATTTCGGACCCCCTATTACCACCGGTCCCGTATGACAGACAGCTGAGCTTGTCTATTGCAGGTACGGTTACGAAATGAGATCCGACCGTCTGCGGAATTTCGAGTGAGTTTGCGCCTCCGATTTGATAACTCGATCCTGCCTCGCACTAGACGACAGGCTACAATATTCTCCTAGTGTGACTTTTAGGGCACCCTCACTTATGTGGTATGTAAAACCCCTCCAACTGCGGCCTACTGCATACGACCTAGGGGCCAGATTGTGTGTGGCACGCGCAGACGACCTTGTCAGCCACCGTACCCAATTTAACTCTCATTCGGCTTGACAGGGATAAACCTTAGCACTGTGAGAGGGGGAAGTGAGAGTGAGGTCAATGCTGGGAAGTTCATCCTCATGGTAACTTAGTGTATTCTCAAGCATAATTAGTCTGACGCGGTTCAACCCATCAAGATGCCCTTAGAGGCAGGAGTTGGAAGGTGGGTTCTGCAAAAAATACTGAAACGTGACTTATGGGTCGGTTGTGAGCATGCTTCTTAAACGTCAAATTCAAGATAGAACAGAGAAATATAAACTGCCACAGGACGCTACAAAATGAGTGTTCCAGAACGGATGCTAAAACTGTAGGGCAGTGCACAGTAATTTTCCCATATTTAATGATGTTCAAATCATGCCACGAAAAAATTCCGCAGACAAATACTTTCCGCACTGGATAGCGTTACCTACGTCGGCACGAAAACTGGCAGTTCCTAATCTCTGGATATACTTTATTGCTCACAGAGTAGTTAGGTGGAAATTATGAGCTTACGGCAGTAGAAACAGCCACTTTGGTACGGAGATATGTAAAGAAGGATTGTCGACCAAGACTAGGAAGTCCAGGATGGTCCTTTCTGACCTACTTGCTGCCATCAGCTAGCCATCCCGAAGTCACTGTTTGCGGGACCTTCGATTCGAAGCCGAATTACTTGGTTATCAAGCGTGTTCAAGTCCAGTTCTCTACTATTGGGCCATGAGCCTCTAGTGGCTCTACTCCGGGCTCCTGTCTCAACGCTGGGCCTCTTGCGAGTGCACCAGGGCTGTCTAGCACTCGTTCACTCGGCTTTCCAACCGACCAATCACATTCAAGGCCGAATCAGACGTGGCCTATCTTAAGACGCCTTGACGCATTCCCCGGCATACACACTTAGGACGCGGCTCACCTAGCGTTGGACGCGCCCTCGTCCGGCTGCCAACTCCTTCTCCAGTTATTCTGTACAGAATATATTCTCCTCCCAACTGGCGTCCGCCTTCTCTTTCCAATTGGGACAGGGCCTGAAGGTTGTGGTAACCAGGGTCTCACTCTCGGTCTAGCCTAGCTGCGATTAGTTCCCTGGTCAGTCTTCTGAATGCATAGTTGCCGTTGTGTACTTTCATATGTCAGACATAACGTCAAGCAGGTCTCCCCAAATCACATGTGCACATACGGCTTTCACAGCCTTCCTTGGCTGTTGAATGATCATACCGACTGACAGGGCCTTTTAGTGGCGCCGACATTACTTGCAGGTGATGACCACACACAGAGTCTAACAGTATATTTCATAGAAGACCAGAATTCGAGGTTGGTGAAAGATGGCAGAGAAATTGAGTACACTTTGAGCAGACTGTCCTTCGCAGGAGATTGGGTTGATGCCGGGTCTAAGTGTCAGCCACTGCGTGCTTCCTGTCCTACTTGGTGGTCATTGGTTTTTTGGTCGTTTAGCCTATTTAGTCAGGTCACACTCAAACTGATCTACAAATTGACTAATCATTTCACTTCGCCTTATAACACGTCTACGCCTCATACATGACTGGTTCGGCTATCTGCCCTCCCCTCCCCCCCGTCTAAGCGATCTTTTCTGCACGCCAGCTATCTGAGACGGCTTAGTCATCTTGCGACTCGAGCTGAACAAGCTGTCTGATTTTGTCGAGGCGGTCCCGAAAATATTTCCATCTGCTTCGATCCCCTTGAATCAGAAATTACTTCTGTAATGAATGGGTGTTCACAAATTTGACAACAGAAACGAAGAAAGACTGACCTATACGAACTGACCGAAGCCTTTATGATGTGCCCTACACTTTTGTGCCCTTTTACGCAGAAATGTCTGGAAAATACATCAGCTGATTTGAGATACTATTACCTCCCCTGAAGTTAATCCCTAGACCAAACTGCATCCCACGGGTGTTTCAACCGCCACCGCAACTCCAGCGTTAATGTTGCTTGCCGTTCATAGTGCCTGCGATAACGACACCAGCAGAACCAAAACAGGGATTCACTTTTTAGAGCCGTGAAAACTCCCATGTCCGTATTCAAGAGACCAGTTCGATAAATTATCGTCAGGTCAGTACATTTATATGGGAAGGGGTAAGAAGCTAAAACATGTCAGTGATAAAAGAAGTCGATTGAAGGTCGTCTTAAAACACAGGCGGAGTATGGGAAAGCGGGGGGAGGGGGTGGCGGGTAATAGCAGTCAATACCGGGGACGAGGTGAGAGCAGAAGGGCGCGGGGAGAGTTGCAGTGTTAGTCGACCTACGAGCACGGTAGGCACGGGGCATGAAGGTTGTTCTTCTGTGCGCTCAAGTCCCTTTTCAAGAGGACGCTGCAACTGAACTCCTAAGAAGACGCCTTGATCAAGTTGTCTTACGAACCTTCCCAGCAGTAAGGGTTCGAATATCCTTCTCTACTAACTCTATTTTACGTGGAGTAGGTAAGGATAGGTTTCCAACTCAGACCACATCAATGTACACCTACTCCCTTACTTGCTCCTGTGGAGCAGGTTATACTGGTCGCAAGAGTCGGCACCTACCCCAGATAATGCGAGGACACCTCGCGGCATGGCTGGAAAAGGAAATAAAATAAATTTCCAGGATGAAAATCTAACACTACTGTCCAGTGCAAACAGAGGACGCAGAATTTAACTTCTTTAGAGTGCTTCCGTTTCCATAACTGGTCGTTGTCTGGTGAATTTTCTTCTGCCGATATGGTGTAGCGCTCAACATTCAACGTGATTATCCGAGTGGGTTCCTCCGTTCGACATAATTTCATCGAAACAGGGAGAAGAACTGGCTGCCAAATGGAGCCAGGGACGAAATCCTACTTAATCCATCAAAATGGCTTCATCTCCTTAGGCACCGTCGCGGCCGATGAGGTCCACCATATACTCCCCAGCAGGGTGGGATCAGGGACGGCGACTTGCACGTGAATTAGTTTATGGTGATAGTAGGCTTGCGCAGCACCTACCGCACTCTCTCCTTCTTCCCCCCTGGACCGGATGTCAGGGCATAATCACGAAGACAGGAGGTGGGTGGCGGCCGGCAGGGAGAAAACCCGCACCTAGGCGTGCCACCACGTCCCCGGGCCCGCAACGTAAGCTGGTCTGGATTTTACACACAGAGGATATTAGGGGGAGCGGCACAGACCTCAAGTAGCGTGACGTGCGCCTGCAACAGGGCCTGCCACCCCATCCAATACGATGTCGTTTGTTATGTGTGCGCATTTCCTACAACTTCTGCCAGAATCCGGTGAAGCCTCCGCAGTGGTCCAGCACACCTGCCGCGTCGCCCTTTTGAGGGGCGTGGGACACCCCATGCACTCCCTGAGGGGCATATAACCTCTGGGAGTCGGCACCGTTTTGTGGGGAATAGATCTCAGCCCACATGACCACTGTAACGCAGGACTCGCTACTCGTCCCCAATTTGTTCGAAAACGGGTTTCTGGACAAAAAAGCAATCGTCTGCAATGACCTTGACAGAGATTACCTAACTGCGACTGGATTTCCCTCGAAGGAAATCGAACGTACTATGTTCAGAAAAGGCTTATCACACGCTCAGAATGAGTGGAAAAGCGCATAGTCCATATGCCGTTCTTCTGTGTAGTTTGCATTGACGCCGGCGTCCTGCCATCTGGGACAGGATGGTTTTGCAAGACTCAATCAAGCGCAAGTCACCTATGCTGCGCCTACTTTATAGGGTGTTCGGCGAAGGCCATCGTTTGCAACAGTCAAACCCTCGTGTGATTCACGCCGACTTGTCATCTGTTCTCCATCGAAGTTGGCTTGTCGCCTTTGCTGATAGCCGTTCTCATGGGAGATGGTGTCTACAGTCCGAACTGGATGATCGTAAGGAACGATGGCGCGAAGTTGACGTATACCATATATCTTCAGATTTCGTTGTCAACCCGAAGTGAAAACTTCAGACGGGACCGGCCTCAACCACTGGTGGGGACGCCGAGAAGTCTCATCGGCAAACGCTAGGAGACTTGCGTAGCTGTTTCTTTCCTCGTTACCGTCGCCAGGCTGTCATACATGAACAACCGGTTGGAA